TGATGGCGACGGTGATGCAAGAGATAAAGGAGCAGTCCGCGTATTACAGCATGGCAGCAGGCCGACAGGCGGTGACAGCCACGAGAGAGAGAGATTATTGGAACACACACACCCGGCCGCCGCCGCCTCTCACACACACACACACACACACACACACACACACACACACACACACACACACACACACACACACACAGGCACTCAGAAGGTGAGATATGTCTCCCAGCATAGAGATGTACTCCGCTGTAATCTCTTTGTCTACAAGATACACTTAGATGGATGGTTACAGGAGACAGAGGGAGGGAGACTGTACGTCGTAGCTCCCAGCGTTCAGTCTGGTGAACCCAGCCTGCAGCAAACACACCGGCTGGATGCCAGGAAATATTAGGAATGCTTCTGTTTAGTTTGGTTGTCAGTTTTAAGTCTCTTCAGAGGATTGTTTGGATTTCTCTCTCTCTAAATACAACCTGCATGCTGGAGGATGAACCAGTGAAGTGATAATGAGACGACTTAAACCAACTGTGGATTCAGTTTTACACCCGTTTTACACCTCCAGTCTCGATTTTTGTTTTTATCTCTGGTTTTGTAAAGCTTCCTCTCCTTACTGACCTCCTGCTGTTTATTGCAAACTGTTGTGACTGTGGACAACCTGGACTGGCTGATCAGACTCCCAGTGTCACCATAAAGTCACTGGTTTCACTTAAAATCACCAACATCAGTGAATCTATACACACTGATGGTGTAATGACCAGTTTGTAACTTGAAGGCACCCACATGGTCCAACAGCAGGATTTGCTTTTACACCAGCGTTGATATGTTTTGTTCCTGGTCCAACTGAGACCTGCAGATGCAGGTTGGATGTGTTGTCAGGTGTTAAATCTACAGACTGTGCTTCTGTGACTCCATCGAGTTAAACAGTAAAAGTTTAATAGATGCTGTTTTTTCTCCTCTCCTATGAGTGATTGAATGATCGATAGCGTTGTCATGTCTGTACTGAAAATAACGAAGCAGCAGCCTGTTAGCTTAGCTTATCATAAGGCCTGTGCCCGGTCTCTTTGCTGATATTATTTGTCTTGTGGAGCGACGTAAAATGAGAATGGCTCTGAGTGAAAAGCAGATTAATCCTCAGGTTTAAGGTGTCTGCCTTCAGTCAACCACTGCTGGTCGTTTCATTTTTCTGAAATTGTGTTTGAGGGTCAGCATTAAAGCAATATTGAAATTAATTAGAGCTCCCTTTCAGTAGTGGAGTTCAGCCTGGTTTTATTCTGGGGCCACTACTGTTTGTTGTCTTTGTGGTGCCAGAGAAGCAAATTATACGCGGGCATGATTTGATTCACGTGAAACTACTTCTTAGAGGAACCTGCAAACTGGTCATCTAGACTTTGTAATGAATACTTTAGCTAAACAGTCGGTACAAAACTTGCACAAGACGACTGATTCAAAGTGAAGGAATGTGCTGAGCAAGTGTTGGCATCCTTAGAAACTTAGCAGTTCATGGACCCATTTTAGAACCTGAACGATAAATACTGTGACATCAGCTCCTCTTGTGACCCAGAAGACGAGACCGAAGCTAACCGTGCTCACATCGTCCTCACGCTGTCGTCTCTGAGGGAACGATGTTCATCAGAATAATGTCATCTTTTAAATTACTCTCATAACCAACAATGTTTTTAAAAATACATTCACTTTTCTTCATTTTTACTGCTTTATTTTTAACTGTGTTAACTTGGTGTTGCTGTATTTGTCTGAATTTGAGCAGCATGTTTTAGGTGTTGCTGCTAATTTAAAGTAGCCTGTTGGTGTGAATGACCACGTGAAGCTTTGTCATACGTGCTTCACAGTCGCAGCATTTCAACGTATGACTTTGGGCTGAGAGCTGAGAACACATCAGCTGCTCAGCGTGATGCGACTCAGCAGCTCGTCATTCGTAACCGCTTTACATTCAACGAAACACGACGTTCTGCTGCAGAGCCACGGCGTTGGAGACCACGAACCATCCAGGGACGTCTTCTCTGATTGGGCTCCACGCTGCAAAAATACTGTTTGTTGTCGTGTCATGTGCTCGCCGGTTCCCATGGGAACAACACACCCAGTTCTGAACTTGTGCTCACATGCTCGGACCTCCGCTGGTTTAGTCTGCTGCGTGTGTCGCATCAGTGCGGCACAAAGGACTCGTTATTATCATTATTATTACTGCTGACGGGCGTTTTGTTCTCCTAAATTCACCTCGTTAGCGTGTAATCAGTCCGTCAGACAGTAACACAGTGAACATCAGTGGCTCTGTGGACTGATTTGCTGCCGCTCACTCATCCAGTGTTGTGTTTGAATGAGGTTCAGCTGAAGAAATGAGAAACCCACACAAGTAAATACGTCTAAAAATAAAAGACCACCAGAGGTTTGTGTTTGGACCCACTTCTGTTGTTTGGATCTTTTAAAGCCTACGTCCGCTTTCTTAACTGGAGACAAGGTTTTATTTTCTGCTTTTCTGAAAATAGGCTGCCACAAAAACTGAATTTATCTTCGTCATCGATCATGTGTGGTGGCAGGGCTCCACTGGGTTTGTTATTCTGGTTTTGCTGCTGTTGTCACCAGTGTGTCATCTGAGATGTTCAGGAGAAGTGACCACGTTGTTCCAATATTTGCTTCAGGTAGTTTCAGGATTGACTTTTAAAGCCATTCATGAGGAAGCAACATGTTTGTGATCTTGTAGCTCCTCATGAGCCGGTTTGGTGTTTATGATGCTCTGGTAGGAACCTTCTGACTGTCTGTAGGTTCTCCTCCAGCAGGTCACTATAATCACTTGAGCTTTACTAGGATGATTCAGGAAATGTCTTCAAGAGAAGTCCAGCTGCCTTTCACTGACACTCTCAGGATAATCTTCTGTTTCTGGATCTCACCTTGTGACCAGAAGTTCTGAGACCTTTGGTACCTCTCAGCTGTAGGACTTCCCTCCCAGAGGATCTCAGACTGCTGACGTCAGTGGATTATTTCTGAAACAGACCGTCTTTCATCTAAAGGTCTTCTCCTGATCGGTTCTATTATGGCTGTTTTATTTAGTTATTGCATATATTACGGTTGTATTTGGATATTTTACTCTTTCTACTAGCTTTAAAAAAAATAAATATCCGTTGGGTTGTAGTTATTTTAATTTTGCTCAATTATATGTTCAGTGTGTGTCCGTGAGGTTTTATTCTCAGTATTTTAATATCTGCTCGACGCTTTGTTTTCAAAAGACGGTTTTTTATTTTTTAAAGTTATTATTATTAAGTTTGTGTAGAAGGGACAGAATCAGGCTGTGACTGTAAAAACAGCAATATTGCAGCTTTATCATGTTACGTAGCGGCTAAATATCTAATATCTAATATATTAGGCTACTTTTTTTTTTACTCTGAATCAAAGGCCAGATTATATATTTTTCACAGTTTTGTCAATTTAAATATATAAACAATACGATTATCATTGTAATTATCAATAATAATAATTTTAATAATGATCATTTATAATTATAATAATAATAATAATAATAATAACACTAATTGTTATGGTTGTTGTTGTTATTGTTAGTAGTAGTTGTAGTATTACAATAAGTAAAGCCATAAACCCATGTTGTAGTTCTAAAAGCCAGTGTTCTGCTGGGTTTGGACCCTCTCCTCTCCCACTCTGCCTGTCACAGGCAGCAGTCATCCTGTAATGGCTGCCACTGCTCATTGTTCACATCCTTCTTTGTCTTCAGCGCCATTTTGACTCCGCGGGAGGAGGAGCGGCTAGTTAGCATCACATCCACACACACTGGTGGCAGGAAGCTAGCCCTGCTAACTCACTGTTAGCTTCGCCGTCCGCGCTGCTAGCTTAATATAACGGGACAGAAAACAGGGAGGCCGAGCCGGTTCCGTGCTCCCGTAGGCCACTACCGAGAGCAGGTGAGCCGTGCTAGTGTGTTTTTAGCCCCGCTGGCTGTCAGTAAACGGGCTACGCTGTCGTTAGCTGCTGCTAATGGCGGAGGGCCGTGCTGTGCTCAGCGTTAGCTCCTGCTCACACAGCTAGCCGCGCTGAGCTAACCTGGACGAAGCAAAACATTTAGCAGCTCTGGAAAATGTTTCCCTCCCAAATGTCAGAGTTATCTCTGTGTAAACACCCGAGCTGCACCAAACCGGGCCAAACCGGGCTGTGTAGGGCTACAGTGCTGTGGGAAAATAAAGGCAAACGTTTTAGCACAATTAATGCATATATTATGAAGTGCAAATAGAAGATAATAAAAAGACACTAAATTATTTAATCATAATCAAATTAATAAATTTGAACTTGAATTTAATTGGAAGCGGGATATTAAAAGCTATAAAATAGTTATGTGTCCTATAAAATGTGTCAAGCATAATTTATATATATTTATATAAAACATATATTGTTAGTAGCCTAAAAGCAGCAATAAAAACAGGTTTTATAATTATATAGATTTGCTCTATTATTAGTATCAGTGGTTTAAAAATACATTTTCACTGCTTGCAGTTGGTTTTGCTGCATCACATCTATTCAGGGCTTTATTAATTCATAAAACAAAAGCACATGGGCCACATCGTAAATGTTTGTGTGTTTTTATTATTATTATTATTATTCCACTATGAAAATATATGTACAATAAATAATTTGGATTTTCACTATTAAAGAATCTCAATAAATAAACTAGGGTCTAAACCTCGGGTCGTCAGCAGGGCTTCCCTCTCGGCTCAGAGAGAATCAGTTCAGTCCTCAGTTCTCTGAGCAGTCCAGCTTCTTCTTCTTTTATTTCTTTTCTTTTTTCTTTTTTAATCTGCACCGTGACTCCGTGAACAGTTCCTGAGAAGTTATGAAGGATCCACGAAGCTGCACCAGAATGGACTAGAGGACACAGATCCACACACACTGATAAGGACTCATGTTTTACCAAAAAAACAAAAATAAAAAAGAAGGTGGTCAAAAAACAAGAAAGGCAATAAATACCTGAAAATTTGGACAAAGAGGGAGAAGAGAGAAAAAAATCCACGAGGAAAAAAAAAACTATTCCCTTTTGATTTTTAAAATTAGAAAATTAAATTAACTGCATGTCTCTTAAACTACATTATAGCCTCAAATAAAAACCAGCACGAAGGAAAAATATAGATTTAAAAAATGAACATAATTTTCATTCAGAAATGTTTCAGGAATGTTGCCGAGAAGCTTTTATGCTCTTTGAACAACAACACCGTCCTTGTTGTCTGCTCCGCCGATTGTTCGCCACAGGCCGCCCGTCCCTCCGCGTCGCTCTGGGTTCGGTTCTGATCTGGAAGCGGCGCAGCGGGCCTCAGAAGTTGAGGTGCTGCAGGTCTATGGTGCACAGTGTGCTTGTGAACAGGTCGAAGTCCTCCTCGGAGAAGTCCACCGGGCTGTCCAGGGAGCTCTGCAGGCTGGGCGACAGGCAGGCGTCCCCGGCGAAGAAGGCCAGGTCGGAGAGCGACGACGAGGAGGAGGCGGCCGGAGGAGCGGACGAGGCGGCGGAGGTGACGGAGGAGTCCCGCTGCTCGGGGAACGACGCCTCGGACGCTGCCGCCGCCGCCGCGGGCCCGGCCTCGCTGAAGGCCGGCGGAGAGTGGTGCGCCGCAGCGGAGTCAGAGGAGCCGGGCGCCCCGGGCAGCGGTGGGCGTTCGGGGCGGCTCGCACGGCCTCCCTCCTCCGGCGTGGGTTGTGCATTGTCCCCGCTGTCATTAGTGTAGGCGGTGGAGGCAGCGGCCGAAGATGGATTGCCGCCCCCCGGCTCGCCCTCCGATGAAGCCTCCCCGGTGCCAGATGCTTCCAGCGGCTGGCTTGAGTACGGAGAGGAGGCGTCGGCGCCTTCGAGCGGCTCGAACCCGCCCGGGTCGCTGGATTCGGGGCCTCCTCCGCCGCCGTCCCGGTGGTGCGTGGTCTGCCGCTTGTGTTTCATCCGCCGGTTCTGGAACCAAACCTTGACCTGCCGCTCGGTCAGATCCAGGAGGGCGGCGATCTCCACCCTCCTGGGCCGGCAGAGGTACTTGTTGAAGTGGAACTCCTTCTCCAGCTCCAGCAGCTGCGTGTTGGTGTAGGCGGTGCGCAGCCGGCGGGACCCGGCTCCTCCGGCGTCCAGACCCGCCTGGCTCGGATCTGCGCGCAAACAGACACAGAATAGACAGAGACCATTATGTGGAGGAGCTGTTGTGCATTTTTATTTTTGCATGTCGATGCTATATTTCGTTTAAACTCTGTGGCTGCAGCAGCACCACACATCAGCCCCTCTGGTTTATTGCGTTCAGGAAATAAGCAGCTTCAGCATCAAGCAGAAATCCCCCCGGCTCTTATGTCTGTAATAAAATAGTAATAAAAAGCAAAAAAAAAAAAAAAAGTGTCATAAAAATACACCTTGCAATTACAGTAGCAGCCAGAGTCATAAATGTAAGAGCAGCCAATTTGGTGACTGTAAAAAACAATAATACAATAAAAGCAGAAGTGAAGCAGTGCGCAGATAAAGACAGATGATCACAGCCCTGTCCTGGAGCCTGCTGAGAGGCTGCAGCGTGTGAGCAGAGAAATGCACAGAGAGCAACATAAATAAATCACTGCGCTGCACGGAAATGTGTATGGAAATGTGGGAATGTCGATGTGAAGCGAACGTGGCGGTATCTGTCAGAACCAGAACCAAAGCCCTGGATGGCTTTCTGAATGAGATCAGAAAAGGCAGGAAATTGCGCAAGAAAGGCAAAAGAGGAAAACAAGAATTCCCATTTAAAAAACTAAAAATGAAGGAGGGAGGGACTGTGTGTGGAGCCAAAAATAAAAAGAGTAAAAAAGAAGTAGAAGAATGCACTGGTTGTCATGGAAGTCAGTGTAAGAGGAAGAAAAGAGCCAAAGCCTAGAAAATGAGATTGTGTGCAGTGTGTTTCCTGTGTGGATGCAGCTTATACCCCCCACCCAGCCCCCACCCCGCCACACTCTGGTTTGCTTTGCCATGATTTCTGCTGCCTCCATCCAACATGGCGACCATCTCAGTTGTTATGAATATATAATACCAGGATGATGCTGGTGATCTGGAAGCTCACCACCCAGTGAACACAACTATACGAGCTGCAGCAGCTCTCATCTGCAGGGTGGAGAAATAAAAAGAAAAGCCCCCTCCGTGCGTCTTTACGCACCAGAGATCATTCTGCATAGAAATAATGCGTTTTGGAATCTGGGCTCATCTATTGTGCAGAGGTTCTGTGGTGCTGCTGCACCCAGCCGGGCTCACATGCACATATTAGTTCTTTACACGAGAGGATCATGTGTAACGTTCATGGGTACATTTTAAATGGCTGATCAGGAGTGTGCAGAGCACTGCAGCATAATGCAGTGGTCCAGATATGGCTCCCTGTTGACACAGCATCAGCACACAGACAATGTCATCCACCCAGAGCCGTGCTGCACCTACAAACACCTCTGAAGTGGTTGTGAAATGAAAATGCAAATAGCAAATCACAGAACATGCAGCACACATTAAACACGTCCAGCACACACACACACGTCCACCGTGGCCCCCGCATCCCAGCATACCGACCTGTGGGTGACTCGATGCCCGCCGAAGCGTACCCAGAGGCGGTTGGCGACGGGGAGGATGAGGCGGGGGGGATGATGGATCCGCCACCGCTCGAGCTGTTCCCAGGCTTGGGGCACTTCTTGGATGACTTCTTCTCTTTCATCCAGGGGAACTCGTGGGCCAGCGGACCGGCCGAGGTGGCCGTGACCGGGGCAGGGGCCTGGCCGGGCGGGCAGGGCTGCTGGGCGGCTCGGTGGTGCGTCTGGAGGCCATTAGTGGCGGAGGTTCTCCGGTTCTGCTGGCTCCTAGTAGCCGATCTCGGCTGGCTGGCTGTGCAGGGGCTGAGGCTGGGGATGGTGTGCTCGAAGGGAGGCGGAATTACTGTCGACTCCTTGATTGATGAAGTTTGAAATGACTCCAGGACGGCGGGGAAGGACGTCAGGCACTCTGCTAGGGACGGCTGGCTGTTGATAAAACCGATCTCCCTCTCAAATTCAAAATTCATAGCTCCCTCAGACCGGTTTCAGCCTCAAACGGCGAGACCCCCGAACAATCCCTTCCCCAAAATAAAAAAATAAAAAAACAAAACACATGCACGCACGCTCGCACACGCACACAACCCAATATGGCCTCCTAAAAAAATAAAAGGAACTGAAAAAACGCACGAGCATGTAGGCTCCCGACCGCAGTGGCGTAAATGCGGTGGCTATATAATAATTGTGTATATTGGTGATATTACTAGCGTATGGGGACCTGGGTAGGCTAAACTGAACAACTATGGGGCGAAATTGCAGCCAATTCCTGGTCATGTGACCCGAAACAGCCAATTGGGGGCCCGGGCCTGGCGGCGCTGATGGCTGTGGGAAGCAGCATTATTATTTTTCCACCAAATAGCGGTGGCAAACAGGGGCTACATCAGGGGATAGCTGCTATTGTTTTGTCCTAACGGGGGGTAAAATGTGGGGAGAAAAAAACGGCGAGGCGGCCGGTGGCCATGTGCGCCGTGTGGGCGACGGCTCGGTGCGTCCCGGCGCTCATACGCACAAACAATAGAGCATCTCGGACATTTTTTTTTCTCTCCAGTCTTCTGGGTGATGTAATGACGGTTAACATTAGGTGAACGGAGCCGGCCAGAACCGTTTACAATATGTCTCCTTCAGAAAAAAAAGCCTGCTGTTTACGCACTCAGCTCATTAATCTTAGAAAGTGTGGCAGAAAAAATCCCCAACTTAGGCACAGAAAACTTGGAGAGGGTTTTAGATGGCGCAGCAGCTCAGGAGGAGAGGATGATGGAGGTTTCTACTCAGCGGTAGTGCAGATGGAGCTTTTTTCTAGCAGAGCAGACAGACTGAAGCTTAGGTTTGAGGAGAGGGGGGACCTGTCCATGTGTAAGTGTGCCATCTTTGTATTTGGAGACGTCTTCGTGTTTCTAGCACCAGTAGTTGTGAGCGTGTGTGTGAGAGAGAGCAACCTCATTTTTTTGTCTAAATATACTCTCACCCTAAAATAGCCTCTTCACACAGGCTCCTAAGTTCTTCTTGCAAGATACCAGGGTTCCTCTCTCACCCTCTCCCTCCAGTGTGATGTGTTAAAATGTTCGGTGTGTTTACGCAGAGAGAGAGAGAGAGAGTTCACAGCGAGGTCGATCCGTGCATCTGGAAAAAAAAAAAAAAAACCGGAGGAGAGCGCGCTGCAGGCCTCCTGTTCTCCCTCATAATAAAACTAATACCACAGGAGCAGCTCTGTGAATTCTAATAGAAAGTGAGCTTGTGCTGAGTGGCCTTCAGCCTCCACACATGTAGATTTTTATAAAGATCAAAAACTTTTGCAGAGGATATTTTGGGGAGGGCCCGAAGAGCCCCGAGTGGGAAAAAAAGCAGCGCGGTGATCAATCTTTCTCCGGCTGCAAAGAGCCTGACAGCAGCCCCTCTCTCTCTCCCTAAATAACTAGAAAAAGCTCCGGCCTCCCTCCACTCTGTCTCTCTCTCCTTTTAGGTCCACGATTCGTTTTTATTATTTTTACGCGCAGCAAACACGCACACAGCGCGCGCGCGCCATGCTCAAGTATTTTATCTGAATAAAAGAAAGATAGCAGGGACACATGGATTTACTGCTCAGCTCGCTCCCTGCTCTCCTTCTATTCCTCCTGCCGTTTGGTTTCGGCCCCCGGGCTCTGAGAAAGAGGCAGAAAGGCAGAAATGTGTGTGGGAGTGGGAGCCATTGAGCGCAGCAGAAAGGCGCAGGCGGCGAGTAGGCCGAGGCTGAACACACACCGAACACACACCGAACACAAGCCCACACAGCACACAGCAGCTGCCGGCTGGGCTGCAGCACCACAGCCGCTCAGATCTCTAATCTCTGCTTCTATTTATTTCTTTTTTACTATTTTACAAAATCAGTATTTTTGTTTTTATTTTTTATAAATTGCTCTGGGATTTATTGGAAGTTTTGCTGGAGAGCAGAAACTGTTTTTGTGGTTGCACTGGAGCGCGCGGATTGGTCGGCTGGAGAGGGGGATTTGTGACTTTTTTATTTTAATTTATTTAATTTATTTAATTTAGGCGTTACTGATAATAGTAGGACATGCAATTATTTTATTTTTTTCCCCCAGAAAGAACTTTAAAATTTTACTTAATTTAAAATGTGACTTAATTTAAAATGTGACTTAATTTAAAATGTGATTACTAACTGTTGTTGTTTTAGCTGTTGTTGAGTCCAAGGCCTGAATTAGAGCCAAAGCAAATTTAAATAAAATAAATACCAGTAATGAAGTAAAGAAAGGAAACATAGGGAGCTTTAGCTGTTTTGTGTATTTAAAAATAATCCTTTGCTGTGTTTCCTCCACTAATGACTCAAGTATTTTTGTACTATTTCCACCACTACGCCTGTAATTCTGTTTATGATTATTATCATAATAATATTGGATCGGTACCGGATGGTAAATCCAGACACGTGATCCCGCTCACAGACAGCTGCTCTGACACTTATTCTAATATTCCATCTAAAACGGATCCTCGTGAAGCTGCTCTTCGGCTCTCGCGGCTCTGCTCGGGTCTACCTGGCTGTGAGCGCGCGCTACAGAAATAGCTGCACTCTTTTCAGGAGTGTCTGAAGCCGAGCCGAGCTCTCCATCTGTTTTTATGAGGCTATAAATTAGATCCAATCTCTGCTTATTGGTGTTTTTATTGTCTGTTAGTCCAACGGAGATGTAAAGGGAAGTACGGCCATTATTTATGGGAGCCTGATTTATGTCCTCAGTTTTATGCTGCTCTCAGGCCTCTGAGCGCGCGCGTGCTGGAGAGGGGGGGAGTCAGGAGGAGGGGGGAGGTGGGGTGACGGGTTAGAGACCATGTGACCGGGCCAAGGCGTAGGCCCGGGGGCTTTTTTTAGTCATAAACACGAACCCAGGACACATAGCAGCTATCAGCAGGATCTGCACGTGTTTGTGTGGATGGAGGAAGAAAGAAGGAAAGCTGGAGAATGAAGTTCAGTCTGAGCCGCTCACACAGCCAGCAGCTCAGAGGGCTCACAGAGGGGAAGGCTTCTCTGCTGGTGTCTTTATGGTCACACCAGGCGGAGAAAGGTGCCAAATAAACACACCTGTGACCACCTGAGAGGCTTCTTCTGCTCTGGGTGTTGGTCACAAACCCAGTCAGAGCCACTCACTGGATTTTTCCAAAGTTTGCAGCCACACCTCGTCCTGTTGCTCAGCGTCTGTGGAGTAAACAAGTGGAGCTGCTCCACAGTCAGCTGGGATGTTTGGACCACGGTGATCTTTATCGTTCTAATCATGAGCTGCTATCTGCCCTCCAAACTGTAGCATGGCTTTATTTCATTTATTTCTGGAGTGTTTTTCTCAGCACCAGTGGCTGCTCGCGCTGCTGTGGACATTCACCAGTAGAGCTGACTGGTATTGACACTCAGTCTGAGCTTCTTCTTTGTTATTGAACATAAACTCTTCTTGTTTTTTTTAGTCCTGGTCGACAGTTGTCAGACAGAAACAACAGAGCTAACACAGCAAGTCAAGCGGCCGCTCTGGAGGCGTCAAATATCTTAGATATCAGGTTTTAGTAGGAATAGTTCCATGCATCTGCCTGTAAAGCTTCACTGGGAAGCGGCCCGGTATGTGACATTATCACAGCGGACCACTGGTGCTCATCATACATGCCAGCAGCCAGCAGCTAACCTCAGCCGCCCGTGGTCTGGGCTCCTCTCCATCAGCTGTAAGGTGCACATCTGAAGTCTGGTTCCTGTCATGTCTCACGGGCCGTTTGGGTTTGGACTGAGTTATTGACAAAGTTCTCTGACAGTAACGCCACGTTTCACCCGGCGGGCGTTGACCCGATATTCAATCCTGGCATGAGTGTCGGGTCATCTCTGAACCAGAGACACGCTGTTTGAAAGGAGCCACACCTGATCTGGCTTTCAGGAGCTGCTCTGTGTCGCCTCGACCTCGTCACACGGTGACACATGAAGACCGGATAACTTTAAACATCCGGCAGCATCACAGGTTTTGGTTTCTTGAGCATTTAGAGCGTTTCACTGTCCGTTGAACGTTTTGGACGTGACGGCTTTGTGTTGTTTAGGTTTAAAGGGTTTCGCAGGTTTATTTCATGTGTTGAATAGTTGTCGATAATAAAACACGCATCATGACAGGATTAGAGGTAAAGTTCTGCGTTCGTTGGGTTCTGATTCTAGCGTGTGATTATTTGCTAAACCTTGGTCCTTGTGATGCCGGCGGCCGACGGGAGCAGCAGCTTGTTTGTATGTTGCCTTGACAATCAGCACAAAGAGCTCCGGCAAGTCTTCACCTGACAGCAGCGCTTTCCAGACGGACTTTGCGGGTTTTTGATGACATTTCCTTCATCGAGACATTCTGAAGCTTTTCACTCTCGAGGTCCTTTAAAGAACTGACGATGGCTCTGAATAACATAACATTTTATTAAAGAATTGTTCGACAGACAACTCTCCCAACAATGAAAGAAAAAGGAGCTACAAAGGACAAAGAAAGAAGTTGTTTTTCTCCAAAAAGACTCGTTCTTTTTTCCAGCTAATAGTTTGTCTAAATTTTCCGACTATGCACGGCTGGGTCACCAATCCCCATCCTTGCCTTTTTCCCTGTACAAGCCAAGACATTTATGTACAAGGGTCATTATAGGAACATAAAAACTACGTATTTTCTTCTAAAATACAAGAACTAAAAAAATGTAACTTCAGTACAATGGACAAGAAGAAACACAATGTTGTTTTTTTTTCTTTCATAACAGGTAAATACTAAAAAAGTACAGTATTTTTTCTCGATATAAATACATGAAGGATAAATAATAATAATACAAAACAGAAAGTCTTTTTAAACTGGCTATAACAAATAAATATTTATATATGAATGTTCACTTGAACACACATTGGCGAAAGACGCTTTGATTGGAGGGCCTTCCGTCTTCAAAATAAGAATTTATTATTATTTTTTACCTTTAACCATCAAAATGTAAACTCTAAGTGCAACAATGATGCCCGGATGTGAAAAGCTTTTGTGTAAAATCTGCACTTTTAAAAAAGACCAGCCCAGTGGGTCTGCTTCCTGAACGTCAGTGAGTCCGGGGAGCTGGCGCTCAGTCTGGGACGGCGGGTCAAACAGTCGGTGAGGGTTCTGACTGAGCGTTGCCCCCAGATGCCCTCACTGACGGTTCAAACAAGCACATCCGGGTGTTTTAAAAGTGCCTCGTACACATCAGCTCCGGTTCCTGGGACATGCATTTTTGTTCAAATATATACCCTGTATCCACGTTAAAAGTCAAGATATGTGAGAACAAAAGAAAACAATAGAAAATGTGGACTTTTAGGCGTCCGCTAATGTATGTGAACCCTTCCAAAGTGATAGAGAGAGATAGAGAGAAGGAGAGAGAGAGAGAGAGCGAGAGAGAGAGGGAGGCAACGAGTTGCCCAAACATAAATAAATAGTGTTCTCCACTCTTATTATTTACCCTGTGTCGATGATGTGCTAAAATAAGAACATTAAAAATTTCTCTTCCATGTCCTCTCGTGTTTGTTTGAAGATGTCAACAGCTGGCGTCGCCGCCTGTGGATCGTATGTGTCAACGAAAGGAAGCTAGCTAGCTTAGCGTGGCTGTGTGAAGGTGTGACCGGCTAAAGTAGCTTAGCACAGATGTGTGTCTATGGGAGCTAGTTTAGCCTCTGAGCTCGTAGCTTCTTAAACCCTGTTCGAGTGATGGAGGGGTGTGCACGTGGTGATGGATGTGTGCGTGTGTGGGGGGGTGGGGGGGCAGTCTGTGGGGGATTGTGGGAAGTGTAGCCTCCTTCAGAAGCCATGTGCTGCTGCCACAGACAGGAGACGGTGGGTTAGTAGTGACTGGTCTGGACGGACAGAGACGGGACGGCAGGAGGCACGAGGAGACGGCGAGGGGAGGCCGTCCGGCGGTTCAGTGTGCTCTGTGAGACGGGGAGCGGAGGAGGATGAGTGCTGCCAGCTCCAGCCATAGCCTCCTGCTCCGGCTGCCTGTGTGCGGCTGATGGAGAGGCAGAGCCTCCACATAGCTCAGCTCGCTGACAACAACATGTGTTGCCTGGAGGGGGAGAGAGCTCAGCGTCATAAATCTAACCACCTCGTTAACTGCCCATTAAAATCTCAACTATTTCATTTAGCAGGCGGGATAGCTGTTTGTATATGTGTGTCTTAGGGGGGACATTTTATTATCAAAGTATAATTTTAAACCACATACTAGCTCTAACAGAGTGATTATAGGCTGGGTTTTTTACTACATGCTATCTGAACTACTGCTCCACCCACACTGAAGCTGTTTGGAAAGCCCAGGAAGGCATTAGAAACCACGGAGCCGGGCTTTTTAATCACTCAGTATTAATGCTGCAGCTATTTAACGAGTGACTTAAATTTAACAAAGACATTTTTCTTTCATTTCACATTTCTTCTGGTTGTTTCTGACTAATTTTCTTCAACATTTGTCCTTCTAACATCTGCTGGAACCCAGCAGCCTGCAGCTCAGACTAACTGTGCCGTACTTTATCAGTCTAGTGAAAAGCGACTGAACAACGGTGCCGGCGGTGCGTCTCTGCACCGGTGCCACGAGTCCAGCCCCCTGACATTTGGGGATGGGTTGGGAGGGAGGGAGGTGTTCCTGGGCGACAGTCGACGGTACACCTCACCTCCCACACCGACAACACGCCTCGCTGCCCTGGGACCAGTAAATACACTGGTGTTAACGGGCTGGTGTACGAGCTGTAAACATCTGTTGGATCACTCCAGAGTTGTAGAATGAAGGACAAACGTCTGTTAATGTGCTCTAAAACAATGTGTACGCTGAGTTAAAACTCTGATGGTACACCAGTAAGTGGTTTAAAGATTTGTTCCCTTCAGACTTTAGTCAAAGCTTAAAAAAATCCCCTTAAAAATGTTGGATAGTTCTGCTGCAGAGACGTGCCTTTTATTAACTTATTGGGCAACATGAATGGTTTGGTCCATCTGTGCTACTTGATACTAGTCGCAACCTGTCTTCTCTAAATTCAATTAGCTGCTCTTCCAAGGTAGCAGGGGAAGCACTCGTCCTAATCAGATTTGATGCCGCTCTTTATGAAGGCAGTGAAAACAGGGTGGAGGCTGGACAGCACCGACTGTTCCCCTCTGTGGCTGTAGAGCACAGGACAAACCGCCGGATGGTTCCGGTCCGTCTTGTCTGGTCCCTCCTGCCGCCCCGTTGCAGCAGTAGAGTCCCCACGCCTGTGAGTCTGTTAGTGAGTCGGGTCGTGTTACTGTGTCGTCTTCACTATTTCCTACGGTGTCATTTTATTCCAAACCTGCTACAGGTGAGTGAGCTTGGGTGCTTCCTGGATTCTGCCCTGAGTCGAGGTGTGGTGCGCCGACAGCTCGGTGTACGTCGGGTGCGTGGGCGGGTCACAGGGGCCCGGGGGGCCCCCTCCGCCCACGTGGTGCTGGTTGGCGGCCGACATGGGCCCTGCGCCATTGTAGTCCATGGTTTGGTGGTGGGGTGGCGTGGGGCCGAGGTGGTTTAGCCCGTACATGGAGGGCCCCGAGCCAGGCATGGGTTCCACATAGCTGCCACCCCCCACGTACACTGGACTGGCCTGCATGTTGGTGGGAGTCCCGTAGCCAGCGCTGTTGGCCTGCACTAGGCTGTGGTGGGGATGGGGATCGCCATAGTCTGGGTCCGGGGCGCCATACTTCTGCTGGGGGGGGCAGCCCTTCATGGGGACGTTGGAATAGGCAGTGGACATGGAGTAAGACACTCCCTGGTGGGGCTTGCCAAAGGACGGCGGAGACGGGGCGTCGTAGCCGGGGCCCCCTCCTCCGCCTCCCCCTCCCATGGGGTGCATGGAGTTGAGGAAGCTGGCGGAAGACTGCATGGGCAGAGGAGGGGAGCCCGTCGGTGAGGGCCCCCCGGAGCTGGAGCTCAGGCCCTTGGACTTCTGGTCCTTCTTGTACTTCATGCGTCGGTTCTGGAACCAGATCTTGATCTGGCGTTCGGACAGGTTGAGCAGGTTGGCCATCTCCACGCGCCGCGGCCGGCACAGGTACCGGTTGAAGTGGAACTCCTTCTCCAGCTCGACCAGCTGGGCGCTGGTGTACGCCGTACGAGCCCGCTTAGAAGACGCCGACGAGCCTCCGGTGGGACTCTTCTCGCCGCTGCTCCCGCTCTCAGCTCCTCCTGACGCTGAGGAGAGAAGAGAATACATTACACCGAGGAAGGGCCAGTGAGATAAATAGATAGAAATTTTAATTTACAAATGTCGTGGATACAGAGAATAAAGAGAAAAACTATCAAAAGAAACACGAGGGCGCCAATCCCCCAGAAAATTAAGAGATAGAAATTGGGGAAAAATGTACAGAAAGGAGGAAAATGTTGGATATTAAAAAAGGAGGATATAGTAAGAAACAGGTAAAGAGAATAGATCAAATGAAAATTGAGAGAGCCAGAAAGGTAGCGAGAATATAACCCAATCAGGCTGCATGCTGGAGGAAATTGAAAGCATTCAGGTTGTTAATAAAGCAGAGGGGGGTCCAGGCAGGCCGGCTGAATTATCCCCTGATATTAGTTGTCAACACTTCATAACAGTGGCAGTTATTAAGAGACGGAGGCCTGGTGCTGGCCGAGGGCAGCAAAATTGCATCTTGGCTGGAAAGACAAACCCCCCACAGCTACAGCAGCTGCAGCACCAGGACTGGAGCAGGAACTGAGGTTGACCTGCCCTCGCTTCAGTCGGCTCGCCAACAGAACCTAAACTCCTGGTACCACTGACTTCTAGGAGAACCAGAAACCTGCCCAGGAAGGCGTTTGAACACCTCCTCCTGCTCCTCAGAGTGAGTCCAAGCCGTGAATGTTTCAGTCGATCTGGGAATGAAGGTAACCGCTGAGCTTCAGCTCCACCAGCTGCTTACTGGACACTCAGACTGGTTGATCACTGTGACATGAAACACTCTAACATACAAACCACCATCAGCCATAGAGCTGCAACTAATGATTGTTTCCATTGCTGATTAATCTGTTGACTAATTAATTGATTAGCTGTTTGGGCGATAAATGGTGACCAGTGTTGATCAGTGTTTCCCGAAGCCAAAGATGACATCCTCAGATGTGTTGTCCACGCCCAGAGCGTTTACTGTCATAGACGAGTCAAGACAGAAAATGTCACGTTTTAAATAACGAGAACCAGAGAAAGACGACCAGTTAGTGTCATCAGCCGCTGGTGACTAATCGGTTAATCAACACGGAGCTCTAATTAACAGCTCAGTTGTCCTTCAGTGCTGCTAAACAGCATTCTGCCTAGAAGGTGTAAAGATGTGTTTTTGCATGAAGCTTAGAGGCCGTGGACCTGGTGAACCTGATGTACCTGCTACATACAGTCTGTTAGGTAGAAACAGAAGCAGAGCCTTCTACACGTGCACCTCACTGACAAGAACAAAAGGAAAACAACAACCATCCCACAAATTAAATAGCAGAAGTCACCATTTATAAAGCCTTTAAAACAGCCTCTTGCCTTTACTTCCAGCTCACTGCTCTGTGTTTTCTAGCTGCTGATGGTCAACGGGACGATGCTTCTGTTTGGGTTTAATTCCTACAGCTCATGTCCGTCGGGTTAAACTGTGACCAATGTTGTCCTCACAGTAAAGTTCTTGGAAGAGAGATATCACTAACAGTAGGTCAAACAGGTGAACGGACAGCAGTGAGGTTGTAAACAAGCTTAAAGCGGATCATGTGCTGGTTGATTGGACCTGGATGGAACAGTCCCACCTGGACAGCAGGGTCATACTGTTCAGGTAAACAGGAAGCTTTAAACTGTCAGAACGTTTCTTTTAATGCTGTTTTGCTTAGTTTTATTTTTCTAAATCAGTCTAAGCTGGGAGTTCGTCTCCAGCTGGTTTGTGTTGAGCTCACAGCCGTTACTTTGGAATATGTAATGTAACTGTAATCCTCAGCCAATGGACAGAGCAATGAAAGTAGAACTTCTGCCTCATGTGAACCAGTAGTTTGAGTGTTTCGTATGTAAAACGATGGCTGTTTGCTGCTAATTTAAACAGCAGCACAGGACACGTGGGCAGCTGAAGGCTGCTGTTATTCCCGCCTTGCTGTGGTTCTATATTAACCGGTAGCGCTGAACCTGAGCGTCCCCGTCTCTCTCTGTCAGCATGCAGGAAGCGCCGACTATGAGCATGCTGGTATGGGCTCATGTGCATGCTTGCTATGCGTTCATACTAATAATAGCGGATGCCGTACAGTTCAAAGAAAGCAGCGTGATGCTATCTCTCCGTATTCTATCTGCCTCTCTCTCAGCAGCACTAACACTCGGTTCCAGTGTTTATTTATATGGGCAGAGACGGAGGGAACCGCCAGCCGTCCGTCTCACAGCGGCCACATCCTCTGAATGATTGCTTCAAATTGCCATCAATAAACAGCCTAATCTGCTCTCAGCTCTCTGTCTGGTCAACTGAAAGCTTTCTGAATGTGAATATCAGGCTCATATTCATTATGGCACAGCGGGTTTTTCTCATTGATAACTACCAGCTCTAATAACACATGTGCCTGCCTCTGTGGCTGTTCCTCGCTCGCTATCACACATGCAGATGATATTCAGATTCATCATCCAGCTGTAGTGTTATTATTATTATTTTTTGCTAATATCGTTCATTGCAGACGCCTCCTTGTCATTCTCCCTCTGTCTGAAAATCTATTCATCTGTTATCGTACATGACATTTAAATTCATTCTGTTAATATCTTCCTACTTGCAGAGGCTTTCCGAGGAGGTGGGAAGTGAAGAGGAGAGAGAGAGGAGGCCAGAGAGGGAGGCAGCGATCGCACGGCAGCAGGCTGGAGGTGCAGGAGGAGGAGGTGCAGGAGGAGGAGGTGCAGGAGGAGGAGAAGGTAAATGAAGGAACACAGGGCTGGCTGCAGGTTGGTACCGTCTGCCTGGTAAACTGTGATGAACTGCTCACAGGTGTCATTAACACCAGAGTCCGATTCAAACTAAATGCCACCGATGTCTGACACTGATTCTGTTTCCTGTTCCTCTAACCTCTGCTGCTGCTGAACTGATCCTGTGATCAGCTTTTTTTTTAAACAAATATCAGTAAATGCTCAGCTTTCTCCTTGCATAGCTTTTGGCTTCGCTTCAGGTTGCATACGATGACGGTTTGTGGTTTTATTTATGGTTCGTGATGGAACTATGTGTTCAGAAACAGTCTATCCGTCCTCACGGTAAGTTTCCAGATACAGTCGGCGTAAACAGCTCTCAGTACGGTTCTCTGTGCAGACGTGCTCGCACCAAACTTGGCAACCTCGCCTACGACTCCAGGAAATCACTACGAAACATAATCAGCTGTACCAGCGTGGAGCTCCAGATCCATACGCTGCTCTGTCTGTACAGCTCCAGTAAAGGAATCACAGTTCAGTCTTCTTTAGAGGTGTATGTAAGTTTTATCTGAGCTAGTTACATCTTGACTTCCTCTCTGCATGCACAGCACCATTCCTCTAACTCCTGAAACTAAAGGCCTTACTTTAGGATGTGTTTACCTCCTTGGTTTCTTGTGTCCAATCATCTATATTTCATTTGTACACATCACACACAACCAAACTTCCATTTATCTGTCAGCGAGTGGATTTTCATTGCTACTAAAAACATACATTTCTTCCTTCTTTCCACATATTTACCGGCAGTCCTCCAGGTTTCCAGTATTTCTCAGACAGCCTTTGAGCCTCTGACCTTTCACCTGTTTTACTACCAAACTGAGAATTTTACACCAGCTCTACTCTAATCCGTCGTAAGACTCAGATGAAGTCACTTCTGTGTGAATGTGTAATCGGTTCTGATCTCCGTCTTCAGAACAACTTTGAATGCTTCAGTGGATCCAGCATTAGTTCATTTAGCAGCCGTCCTAAATCAGTAAAATCACCTTGAACTCTGGAAAGCTGACATCAGATACAGAAAGCTAATATCCAGCCTGACTAGCTGCTTCCCTTCCAGTACCGCTGCTGCCTGTGGAAACCTGTTTTGCCATAATAGCCGAAAACCCTTCTGCGTTCTCTGGGGACTCGGGCCTGGACAGAGGATGTTGATAAGAGAGGTGAGGAAAGAGGGACGTGGTGATGAGAAGGAGAAGGCGGGATAATAGGAACAAAGACGCTAATGAGGAAGGAGAAGGAAGGAGGAGAGGAACGGACAGTGAGGGAAGGAGTAATGAGAGGGAGGCTGTGTTGTTGCCGCGGTGCTGTGTGGGGAATCAGAGCAGCGACAGACAGAGAGACAGAGACAGGTGTAGGCGAACACACCGTTGCCAGAGTTGTTGCTGGGTGAACAGTTTTTCTGCTTTGTTGTCTGCCGACACTCCTTCATCCAGGGAAAGATCTGCTTGGCCAAGGCTGGGTTGGGCGGCAGTGAGGAGGAGGACGATGTAGAGGATGATGTGGAGGAGGAAGAATTGGAGGACTTATTGGGGCCTGATTTGGAGACCGAGGAGGCCCCAGCACTGCCACCCGGCTGCTGAGCCCCAGTATTGCCGTTGCTGGGGTTGGGGGGCAGTGGAGGGGACACCTGGGAGCCGGGGTGGTGCTCAGGCGGCAGGCTGGGCCGCATGCAGCTGCCATTCAGCTCCTTGGTCTTGGCTAGCTGCTGCTGCTGGTGGCCACCACTACTGCCCAGTGACTGCAAAGAGCAGGCAGAGCGCTGGTACGAATCCACGTCCAGATGGGTGGCCGACTGGAAGGCCGGCTGGTGGTGGGACACTGGGACCGGGGCATCGTAGCCCCCAAAGCCATTGGCGGCTGCCGCCGCCGCCGCTGCCGCCCCCTGCACCTGGTAGGACGAGTAGCCACCGAAAAGCGTCGAGGAGTTGTCGTAGTATGTTGTCTTCTGCATTTCTGAGAGAGGTGGCGGCGTCTTCTTGTGCTCCGGTCCTTATTGAGAGCCACTGCCGGAAGACCATTTGGTACCGGGGGTCACGTGACGGTGTCTCTCCAACGTTCCCCTGCAATCTGACCTGAAAGGTTAGCAGAGACAGAATAAAGAAATGAGAGAGATAAATCCATCTTCCTCCAATGAAAGGCGCCATGACATGAATAGAAACCACTGCTTTTCTTCCCTCTGCCCCCCTCCCCTCCCCTCCCCCTGAGCCCAGTGCACAGCCTGCAGATGCTCCGGCGGAGGGGGCACGAGGAGGGCAACTGCTCCCCGTCTGCACACACACACACATATACACACTCATGCACACACACATGCACACTCACACACACACACACACACACACACACACACACACACATATACACACTCATGCACACTCACACACACACACTCACTCACTCACTCACTCACTCACACACACACACACACACACTCACTCACTCACACACACACACACACTCGTGCACAGGAGAAGACATGCACGATTACTAACCCTACATCTTTGTATAAACGTTGCCTCAATCCAAACAGTAATTAACAGTAATCATCATTATCATTATTATAATTTGTTGTTATTATTAAATATCAACGTAGTGGTTTGTTAGTTGAATTATTGGTTGTTATTACTATTATATTATTATTGTTATTATATTATTATTATATTATTATTATTGTTGTTGTTGTTGTTGTGAGTTTCTCCACTGTGAGATAAATGGATTCATATCTTATCTTTTGTGTTATTCACTAATTAGTCTCCCAGTTTTTAGCTTTTAATTCAAGCATGAATTCTTCATCTCACAGTTTAGGAATTAAAATAAAACCGTATCAGAGTGTCTAAAACGTGGCGGTTTGTTCTATTTTTAATTATTCGATGAGTTATTTGTTGTTATTGTGAACGTCTCTAATAAAGCCTGTTCCACGCTGTGTGCTGTTATTCCAGCTGAACGTGACATTTTGTTGTGTAATGGCGGCGCTGGATGCGGTGTGTGTGTGTGTGTGTGTGTGTTTTCCTTGTGACTGATGTAGGTAGCCTACTTCTGTCAACCTTTTGCTTTCCACATGTGATTTACTGTTTTCCTGCTGCTCGCTGTTACCTCACTCATCCTCACCACACCGCTCTGTCCCCGTGCTGCTGAATAACGGGCTGCTTTAGCATCACCGGGTTTTTATTTTTATATATATTATATTTATATCAGTGCACGGCAGTAATTATTTTTTATTTTGGATTTTCTCACCGGAGTTCTCTGTGAGAGAGAAACGCGGGCTGTTAATGGAGGTCTGTGCTTCACGTGTCATCAAAGTGGCAAGGTGAAATGTAGGCTATAAATCACATCTCCATGTGTGACTGGTTGGGAATTTTCTGTTTGTTTTTTGTTTTTTTAGTTGTATTTGGTTAATATTGTGGAGACCAACAAAGTGGGAAAAAATACTAATTTTACCAAAACATAGGAGACAAAAGAGATGGATGGAGAGGTAGAAAAAGAAAAGAAGTCCAGGAAGGAGCTTCACGAGTCAGTGATCCATTAGGGGTCGGGTGGCCGGAGTGCTCTATCATGGCCCCTTCAGGGGAGCAGAGAGGGAACCAGAGAGGGAGCCGGAGCGGGGAGAGCCCCCACGGACTCCCCGCTCTGCGCCCGCCGCTGGGTGGGCCTGTGGCCGGCACACAGGCCGCTTGTCAGAGAGCACCTGGCATTCATTTCTGCTCCCGAGATAAAGGAGAAAAAAAATGTCTAGAAGCTGCTCTGGCACCAGACACAAACCGAACCGAGCTCAGAACGCTGCCGATCATCGATTTTCTGGGTTCAAAATGAGCCCACACACTCATCATGTAGCCGCCACTGTGTGCGTAAAATAACAGCAGCCAGGCGCGGATTCGTTGGTTTGGGATCGACTTCGTTCAGGAGAAATGTGGGAAAAAAACAAGAAAGAATGGCGGAGATACCGTGACAGTGCGATGAGAGACAGCAGGCCCGAGCTGCTGCAGAACACTGGAAACAAACCAGCACCATGGTGGAGGCTGGCTGGTTTGGTCTGTCCTTAATAAGCACAAAACATTAAAAAATAAAAACTATACTGTGAATAATGTAGCTGCAGGACGTTTTCTAAATAAATAAATGAATAAAGAGCAGCTTTCAGTCGGCTGTTAATGATTCTAATATAATGATAATAATAATAATAATAAAAGACGCATTTTGTTGTTGGTTTTTTAAAAATAAATAAAAATAAAACAAATGAATTAATTATTCTGCTCTTCCACTACGAATGATTGAAATTAAATTAAGATAATAATAATAAATGCTCCCTTTAAAGCTCTCTAAAATGTATCACCATATTTTTTGCCTAAGATTAGACAGAGCAGCCTTCCTCCAGCTCTCAGCACGTCACACATGTCAGCCATTTATCTTTCTGCTAGACAAGCTGGAATCCTAATTATTTACTCTGAGGAATAGTCCCAAGGAGGGAGAGAGAGGGGAGAGAGGGGAGCGAGGCCGTGGCAGTGAGTGTAGGAGGAATATGTTATTAAATCATATCGCTGTTTGGCCATTAAACGGGACACGTAATGTCTGTGCCCCTGGCATGTAGGGCTACGGCTTAATACAATCACCAACTTTACTAGACGCCTCCCTGAATAATCCACTTACACTGACAGAGAAACAGCCACCAAACAACAACAACACAGAGAGAGGGAGAGGGAGAGGTCGGCCTTGGTGTCCAGTGTCTGTGTTTTATCCTGGGATATAAAATTACAAATGGCGCCTGCCATGAAGAGCTATGCAGGCAGGAGACAGAGAGAGAATGCATTAACTTGGACAATCCACGTATTCCTCATCCCATTAACAGACAGAGAGGGAGAGAGGGAGGCCAATTATAAGGAGCCCAGAGCAGAAACAATGAAGGACTGGCCTGATCACTGCTATTGTTGCTGTGTCCATGTGTCCATGTGTCCATGTGTCCATGGCCTCAGCTCATAGGCTGGACTCACCAAATAATAATAATAATAATAATAATAATAATAATAGTAATAATAATAATAAATCCACGTGGGATGGAAATTACAGGCTTTTTTTTTTAGTGAGGATTAAAATAAATGTCAGCTATTGGCAAATGGATAAAAGGGAAGCCCATGGGACCAGAGGGAGAAGTGGACCATCCGTACCAGAACATGGTCGGCCATTGCTTTGTAAATAAACAGCAGTAAGTGAGGATGAGGTGGACGGATGGAGGGAGGAAGGAGGAAGAGAGGACAGGACAGAGATGGACGGCTAGAGAAGGAGAAGGGGGGCTGCTGCTGGCGGGCAGCTACGGCAGCTTAAAGCGTTGTGAACTCTTCTTGAACCGGGATTCAAGTCATACGGGCCATAAATCACTGAGCAGCCGCCGCGTTCCGCCGCCGCTCGGCCACAAACACGCTGCGTGTATCTGCTGGTTTGTGTGTCTGAGCTGAGCTGCCGTCGCCGGCTGGCCTTGCGCGCCTTGCCCGGTAAGTTGCTCCTTACCTTCCCCTTAGCACCGGCGGTCCCGGTCCAGTCCGGCACGGACCCAGCAGCACCGCATCACAGATAGGTCCTCGCGCACGTTCGCCGGGGTGATCAATAACAATGATAAATAATTAAATAAATCCGCTCGCTTTCTTTCTCTCCCGTTCGGCTCTTCTCCTCCTCCTCCTCCTCCACCGCCTCCTCCTCCTCTCCTCCTCTTCTTCTCTCCGCAAACCCCGCCGCTCCTCCGGTGCCGTCTGGAGACTAGCACGGCTCTGCCCGACCACCACAACAACACCTCCAGGAGCCGCAGCGGCGGCAGCAGCAGCAGCGGCGGACCGGGCTGCGCGCACCGGGCACCTTGTGGCATGAACGGCCGGAGGGATGAGAGAGGAGCCGCTGTCGGTCGGTGGAGGGAGGGGGGTGGCCTCTAGGCGTCGGTAGGGGGGCTCGATGTACGACGGGCTCGGTGTAGGCTCACGGGCAGGCTAGCTAGCGCACGAGCTGAACGAGCTTACCGGGAGCCTGCCTGCTCGCCTGCTCGCGCCCCCCCCACCCACCACCACCACCACCACCACCACCCATCCACCCACCCTCCACCCGCCCTCCGCCCCAGCACCCAGCGCTGCCTGCACCGCTGCTGGATAACAATGGCCTCAGATTTCTGTCCTTTTTAGCCTCTGTCGCTCACGCAGCCGGTACAGTCAGCCAGGCAGCCCCCAAACGTCACCCCATCTCATGTTTGGTGGTCCTTCGTCTATTTTCCTCCCCCTGTCTCTCCCTGTCTCTCTCTGTCCTCGCCTCCTGTTCCCTCCGTCCTCCTCTCTGCCGCGGCTCTCCTGCCTCTCTTCGGTCCCTGGGAGGCTGTAGGTGGGCTTCTCCCGCACGGCTAGCAGCAGCAGCAATAACCTATAGTGGTAGTAGTAGTAGTAGTAGGAGTAGTGGTGGAGGAGGAGGTGGAGGAGGCTGTAGGAGCCTCGGTGTGCTCATCGTCGTGTTGTTGACAACAGTGGCGGCCACCGGCAACGCGCACGCGGCCGTAACGCACCAAAATAAGGAGGCGCAGGACGCGATGATTCCCTCATTAAAGCTCAGCGTCACTCACACATTATGCTAATTTCACTGGCTGCAAGTGAAGCAGGGAGGCAGCTGCGAGCTCAGCTAGCAGCCAGAAAGGCCACTTCTCCACGTGTCTCCAGACTTCTCAATGAACTCTTTGAATTTGGACTTTTTTATTTTTTCTTTTGTCGGACTTTGCAGCCTCTGGCCTGTTTCCACCACGTGAACTTTGGCATGACTTTGAAGCAACACAAACACAGATATTTCGGGAGTGTGTTTGTGGGATTACTATTTTGCTCTCCTGGCTTGGTGTCAGATAGCAGGCCACAGAACCAGGCCTCTACAGACACACATACATGAAGCACTGAGGAACTGCATCAGGAACTGTTTAGGCTGAGCTGGGATCATTATAAACCCAGCCAGGGGTTAGCACCTCTAGTTAGCAGGGTGTGCCTGTAGCTTAGCTAAGCCTTGCTCTAGCTGAGACCAGGTAGCTTCAAATTAGATCAGATCTATAAAATATAACTGAAAAATGCAAAAATTAAAAAGAGGCAGTCGAATAAATAAAAACCTAAACAGCAGTAGCGTATTATTACTACATTAGAATCTGTATTAAAATCTAATCTGAGCGCACTGTTATGAGCTCATTACTGGCTGATAGAAAATGTACTTCTACCCATAAAGCCTGATGTTTGTATGTTTAGTGGCCAATTCAGACTGTCTCTGTAAGTTTAAATAAAGTTTTTATTTGGAGGTTTATTCTAATCTGTGCATACTGAGTGTCCAGGAGATGCTAGAAAGTCAACATGTGTTGTTCATATTTCATTACCTCTCCTGCTTCTGCACAGCAAAAGTAAAGCAAAGGAGGCCATGTTGGATGGTGCTGACATGAAATATGCACATATTGGTAATAATGCAACAGACTGTAGATAAAATGTGCAGCTCTCGTGAGGCCTGAAAAGCTCCACTTCTAATCCTTTTAAAGAAAAAAAAATACAAGAGGGTCTGTGTCCCTGCTTGTGTTCTGACTCCTGCGCACTGGGGAGGAAGACAGGAGCAACGTTTGAAGAGAGAGCTTTAAAAAAAACAAGGCAGAGTGACAAGAAAAGGAGGAAAGAGACGCAGAGAGGAGAGAGCAACATGGAAATGAAAATATGAAGGTGTCTCACAGTGTTTTCATACCCCACCACACACACACACACACACACACACACACACTCTCTCTCTCTCTCTCTGGCTGTGTGTGTGTGTCTCTGTAGCTCTCTCTCCCACTTCCCTCTATTTTTATTATTCAGGACGCTACCCCTGTCGTTTATGGCTACGTAAGATTTATGAGTTCTCTCGCACCCAGCAGCGTGTGTGTGCGTGTTTGTGTGTGTGTGCGTAAACAGCCCAACTTTAAAACAGATAGCATTCGCTGTGGGCTGCTGAAATGAGAGGATGAGCTCCGTGTAGGTGGAAGGTGGGAGTCTGAAATGTGTCCGTCTGCAACTTTTCCTTCAACCCGCTCTTTGTACGGACTGAGGGATCTGCTCACTGCTGCTGAAAAACCTCATTACTCATTAACCAAACCGCTAATCAGCTATTTTTTTTGTCTTTTTTGTTCTTTTCTCTTTTTTTCCACTGTGGGAAGAGCCGTGAAATGTGGAGAAATAAGCAGTGCGGATTACATGTATGCATTGACTTGTAAAAGCACGCCGGTGCTTGTAAAGGATGGTAGTTTTTCTTTATTTTCCTTGGATGGAGACGCGCATCGACGGTCCGTGTTTCGGATTGAGTCACGGGTATTGGGTTTCACAACTGAAACTCTGTGCCTTGCAGCGCTATGGAAATCCTCCTTCTGTTTTTTCTTTCTTTCTTTTTTCTCCCCCCTCTGGGACTTCAGACATGTAGGAGTCTGAGGATGACTCTAAGGAATTTCCTCGGACTGGGGTTTTAAAATCAAATTTTACGCACAGATTTTACGCACGGGTTTACAGTGTGGACACACTACTGGTGTAAATGCCAGCAGACTGATGAAAGATGAAGAATGCTTAATTGTCATGTGTTTTTTTTCTTTTCTTTTTCTTTTGTTGTTGCTCTGACTGCTGCTACTGTGACCTACTTTATTCTGCTGTCAGTGCTCGTTTCGTTGCTGTATTATGCACATCCACTTATGTTATTACTAGCAGTGTTAGCATTGGTGTCATTACTGCAGCTACAACGGGCTGTTTTAATAACTGTCTGTCTCATGATGAACTGACCCTCATGTTTGCTGCTGCGGCTCTAACCCGCGGCCATCGCTCTGCCCCTCACACCTCTGGATTACATTATATTAGCACGCGTCATTACATTATATTGCATCACTCTCTCTCTCTTGCTCTCTCTCTCTCTTGCTCTCTCTCTCTCACACACACTCACACACACACACACACACACACGCACGCATTCAGGCCTACCAACATGCGTCTATTTTGAACAACAAACTCACCAACAGTCCTTCACAATTTGCACATTAACGTAAAATCTGCAGGTTGTGAAATTCTGCCACCAAGGCGTCATCGAAAGTAGACAGTTAATTGTAAATAATAAAATAATGCCATTAAAAATAATAATAATAATAAACTAGTTGCAAAATACAAAAATGTCAGTTTTTCCTTTAATTTATTTTTTGTTTTTTAATGACCATATATTTTTAAGTAACACGTGCAACTGCAGGATTTTAAATGTTCACACTCTCAGCAGCTTGTAGTTCTAATCTGGTGTCGATGGATCACACGCACAGACTCAGGGCCTCATATGCACACATGCATCAGGAGGAATAATGTGAAACCACGACTCACCGAAAGATTTCCTCCTTTTTCTTGATGTTTTAATGCACGCAAACGGCTTCCAGAAAGCTCCTAAGAACTGCAGGATAAACGGGGAGAAGAGAGGGAGAGACGGGGGGGAGGGAGGGGAGAGGGGGAAAAAACAGATAGGAAAGAAAGAGATGAGATATGCAATCAAAAGGTCTCGGTAAAATCCGATACAGAGCACAGACCTCTTGTAGTGGAATCGAACGGTTGGGACAGGGCCGACCGCTGACAGGTACCGCTGACCTTAAATTATTCCCGGAATAAAAGCAGAAAGAGCAGCGGGAAGGATGAAGGCTGGGTGGGATGTGATCCGAGAGGCTATTGATTCCGCTTATCATATTACACATCCTATTATATTTACCATGTTTCCATCCACTTAAAATAAAATACATAAAACGTGTAATCTGTGATCTGCCAGCACTTGGAACAGTCTGTGACATGTACCGGGGAGGAATGGCTCCTCCGTCCCGTCAGGAATGCACTTAAAAATGAGAGACAGAAAGAAACGAAAATGTTGGAAAATTATGCAAAAATAATTTAAAAGTAAATTTGTGGAAATTAGTTGTGTACGCACAAATAAAACAGCGAATTTCCTAAGATGTGAAAAATAGAAAAAACAAATAAACAAAGTGCTCAAAATAATAAATAGGTCGCTCACTTACACGGTAATTATCGTACAGAAATATCCTAATACATGCTGTGGCCGTTAGCACAGAAACTGGTGAATTAAAACACCAAATGCACACATTTAAAACAGCGAGTGGTCACAATGAACAACAAGCCCGGGGTGCGTCTAAATCCTGGATCCGGTTATTTTTAAATAGATGAGAAAACAATCAAAGCCTCGAGCAGAAACAAATTAAAACACCATAAACTAGTTCTGCTTATTACAGCTGGACACATCCGTCATGATCACAGAAAGAATAACTTCCTTAAAAGTCATAAATGGGAGTAAAAAAAAATAAAATCAAAAATGGAGAATGGCCCCAAAAAGGCGAGCAGCTGTTTGATCCACGCGTCCCATAAATACGCTCACTGAGAGGACGCGCTCCTCCCGGGCAGCACCAGGCCCAGCGCCCAGAGCAGGAGGGCGCATCCCGGCCACAGCCCCGCCGGCAGACACGCATCCATCCTGGGCTGCGTGCGGCGGGCAGCGCTGCGTAAAGCCGGCGGCTGTAATTGTATAATCGCGTCCACGACCACAGGATGAAAAGCGCTGTCCGTGTTGTTGCATACTGGCTGTTATTATTAAAGCGCTGCAATAAAATCTCTGGGCCGCTCTGCTTCTGTTTCTGCTCCTGACAGCTTCCCCCAAACACATAAATCAAAAGCAAAGGATCCCCCGACCTCCCCGTACCAGCCTGCACCACCACCACCACCACCTCTACTCCGACTACCACCAGCACCAGCACCACTGCTCCTACTACTATAAAGTTATTTATTGTTTCCATCCATGCACTCACGCACAGCTCTGGCTGCCGTCCATCCCCATCGCAGCACCCGGCACTCGGGCTTTTTCCTTCCCTGCTTTCTCCCCCCCTTCCAGCCCCGCGGCTTAGTCGGAAATTTGCAGCCACGAAGCAGGAGTGGACTAGTCTAAAGTTGCCCAGAAAGTGATGCAGGGGCCGACTAGCTTTAGCCAGCTAGCCTATAGGCCGAGACAAAGAGAGGAGGCCGCCTCCAGAGCCCCCAGAACAGCTGATGAGCCAAAATTTAGAGTGGAAGAGGAGGTTTGAGGGGAGAGAGGGAGAGAGAGAGGGGGGAATTTCACATGGACTCCAGATATAAAACAGTGCAGATGAGTGCTTTTCCCAGGTTGGAGGAAGCCAAAGTTAGTAGGGAAGGATGGAGCAGCAGCAGCAGCAGCAGATCTACTGGAGGTGTTCATGGGAGCAACAAAGGCTCTGCTGGTGCATAATTTAACAGAATGCATATTAAGCGAGTGAACAGCAGGTTCAGGCTCCAGGGAGAGCAATAGATGGAACTAAAAACTGACAGTTCACTCCTACAGAGCAGTTTTCTTTAGGTGTTATGTTCTCAGTCTTCTCAGGTCTTTGGTGGATCTACAGCTTTCTTCATTACAAGTTAAATAATGAAGCTACATCAGTGCAGATACTCTGAGAAGTAAAGCTGCATCAACAGAGGGTCTGTGCTCTTCATACATCCTTACAGCTGTTTTCCTTATGCAGAACTTATGAGAGGGTTAATGTGAGGCGGTGTCGGCGGGTCGGGCTTCACTGGAGCACCGGGACAGACGGACTGATGCTGCTGCAGCTTCATCTCAACGTCTGCAGATCTGAACAAACTTTATCGCTGCTCTCTGCTCTTATCTCTGCCTGGTCTGGTTGGTGCCGTCACCGGCCTGCCTCGGCCCACACACACACACACACACACACACACACACACACACACACACACACACACTCTCTCCATGTTTATCACAGACTGTGCCGGGTAGCAACAAAGAGCCGGGGTGTTTTCCGGTTGCCTCGATCTAAAACTTTTCCGCCGTGTCTTTCTTTGTCCTTTTATTCTTTGACCTCAGAAGCAACACAAACACTCCAGAAACACAAAGGCTGACTGCTGCACAGGTCCAGACCGTGCAGCGTTGCTATCAGCACCGTTACCTGGTGATACTAACACAGGGGCTGAAAGCTCACAGTGAAGCACTCAGACGGTGACATATTGCTGCACAGCTCTCCAGGACTGACCTCTGACCCGCAGCACCAGTGACTCACTCCTTTAATGATCAACCAACTGGTGAAGTGCAGCACAATTCAATTCTGGTGGAACATTCGATGCTTTAATCCTTAAACCTGTCGCGGTTTTACTTAGAAACTTAAATTTAATTGGATATTTAAGCCAGGAGGAGTGTTTCTGTGTCTGCTGCAGGTCTTTCTGAATGCGACCAGTGTTACAGTCTGACTTTGGGAGCAGCAGTTCTGGGCTCAGTTGAACAGAACAGGGTGGGTGGAGGCTTTAATAATACCGTTAAAACACCCTGGCCTCAGACAACCCGCCGGTCGAGCACATCCCCCTCCGTTCGGATCCAGTTTCCGGATTTGACGTCATGTTGCTGCAGCGTCAGTGGGCTCATGAACACTTGCATTCTTTTCCGGTGATCTTCATGGTTTGAGTTTCATTAAGTTTGGAGGATTTATCACGCTTCTCTTCCCAGAGCGCCGCGGTTTGCTCCGGCCTTAATAGGAAGAGTCCCATAAGAAGGCCTTTGAGTTCCTTCAGACGCAGACGTTTGTTTAGGATCATGTGGCATTTACACACTTAGGACAGTTTGTCTGTGGGAGTTTATTTACGCCTGATTGGTTTTCTTGTTGTACTTGTTGCTATGAGTACGAGTCTGGCTTCCAGAGACGATGGATGTTGTTTCACAGATCAGCGCTGACGTACCCAAACTCCACCTGCATTTAAACAGCTCCCACTCCACTTATGAGTGTTTTCTTAACAACAAATAGAAATAAATCCTTTTTATTTCCTTCACTGTTGTGAGTGGCTCCAGTTATTCTGACCTTTAGGGCCCACTGGAGCCGGCGCTGCCATCACCGTCGGCTTCCCCCAGCATAAGTCAACATCCTCACTCCCTGCACTGAAGCAGACATTTTCATCAAGTCCATTGGAAGAGTTCCTTGAAGTGTAATGAGGTCGAACGGCCATGCAGCATCACCACCAGCACAACAGACGCAGTCGCAGCAAATGGGCGAGCGACGACAAACCCGGCGCTGCCACACATTTCATCTCCTCCCTCCTGCTCCGGCTGGATGACACACTGGTTTCAACACCGAGGGCAGATATGCACCATAGAAAGAAACCGGAGAGAAAAGCCCTCCACGTGTTCGATGTGTTGCCCTCCGCAGCTCCCCGTGTCCTTTTAGCTCCCAGATTCAGCAGCACTGCCATAAAGCCGAAAGTTTAGATCAGTTTCAACAACTTCTAACAAGTTTTTGAAGACCGTCGACAGCTGTGGCTCGAGGACAACTGAGGAATTCGTGTCTTTTCATTCTTTAGTGTTGGTGTTTTATCAGCTCATGGGAGACGCTCAGAGCTGCTCGCTGAAGCCCATCGAGTTCAGTCTGAGCTCCATGTTTGTAAAGAGCGCCGTCTCTCAGCTCCACCCAACAGCTCCACATGTGTCGTAGGGTGGGAACGGAAGCGTAGCAGCAGAAATGCACTGTTATGATACACGTCCTCTTTTCATTTAGGCTCGATGTCTGGACAGATCTTCTAGTGTCTCCTCTGTTGCTCCTGGCTATGGAGCCATAAGTGGGACGCTTCACGCATCCTCTGCATAAAAGAGTTATTTGATTAATTTGTTCCCAATTATCGGACTCACAAAATGCAGAAAAATTCCAACTGAGCTCAGGCTTCACAACGAGGAGACCGGAGGAGGCCTGGAGGCTCAACATGTGTGCTTAGAATCACTTTTCAAACATGAGCCCAACTCCTGCTGCTTATTACGTCCACCAGCTGACCAAAGAAGCGACAACAGAGCATCACGATACGTTGCATGAGTTCCTCTACTGTCTGTATCGTCCCTGATCTGATCCTCGAAGCAGCAGCAGCCTCCTCCGTCGCTGCAGGCAGAGCTCGGACAGTCCCGCACCAGAAACCCATGCCATCAGCGCCTTCCTTTGACAGAGAGTTAATCTTTATCAGAGATGCTAATCTTTAACCTCAAACTCAAAGAAAAGCCCTGACGTCAGGAGAGAGGGGGACGGGTGGGTCTGGGGGTTCGTAGGGGATGTGGTGTGGGGGGTCAGATTGGCCTCTCTGCTCCCGGGCCATGAAAAGTGCCACGCTCACCAAGTCTGTCAGGCCGAGGGTGAACAGGGATGGATGTGGCTCTGTGTGTGTGTGTGTGTGTGTGTGTGTGTGTGTGTGTTCAGGCTGCTAGATCAGTCCGTTGGCTACATTTCCACGTATATTTATAATATTTAAAGTGAAGCTGATGAACTGGTGTCTGCATCAAAACAGGAACTAAACCAAACACTGACCTAAATCAGGCCTTCAGCATACTAACGGATTCCCTCCTACTGCGGCTCTGATGCGTCCACGTGTCTCTGTTTGTGAGGAACAGCCTCGACACTGGGGATGGATGCTGGAATACTTATTGTAAATAAACACTGATTAAAAAAGGCTATTTTAAGGATATTTTTCTCTGGGACTTTGTGTCGTTCTACATTTTAATTTTAGCTCCAAACGTCCAGCCTCTAGCCGTGTGGGTTGTTAAGAAATCAGACAACATGTTGGTGGACGCCTCCTTCAAACAGAGACTAGTGTGTGTGATGGTGAAGCTTCCTGTGATTACTTATAAAGAAATGATTCAGTAAAATCCTCACCAGTCTGGTTTAAGCTGAGCTGCTGTACTGACGGTTATTATTTTGGGTGAAACTGTGGAGAAACATTTTTAGTGACTTGAAGGTCCAACCTGCTGCTGCGCTCGTCTCCGAGGAGTCGGCATGTGTCACCGTGTGTAAAAATACAGCAAAGCCTCCAGTTAAACACACGGTAATATCTCATGGCTGATGGTGGAGTTTATAGGCAATCTGGCCTCCGCGGAACGCCCTAAACGCTGGCACGAGAGGATGATCCAAAGCCTTGTTGCATCAGTGTTTAACTCGATTTAGCCCGGTTTATTTATTCACGCTGGATAAAACGGAGCTGCACGGAGACGTCCGCTGGCTTTGATGTGTTTCTACGGGTTGGAGCGTGATGGCTTCGGCTGGCCTCCTTCACCATGTTTTTTCAGGGTTTTGTCGCTGTGTGTCTAAGAGGCATGTTGAGTTTTGGGACGTGCGGCCACTGCGGCTGCCTGCTGGTCAAAAAAGACAATTTCCTGCCGTGGAGTGTGTGTCCATCCAGAGAGGAGAGCACTCAGTGATACGTGTCTGGAGTAATTGTGGTTTGGCAGTGCCTTAAAAATGGATTTTCCTAACTTGTTATTATATAGCTTTGAGGCCTCATTACGCTGAGTGTTGAACAACCTGTACCACTACAACAGGCCTGTATCCATTTCCTAACAACATGCTGCTCTTATGACACACGGATCAGAAAAAGAAGCCAGTGATTGTAATATAATCAGGCCACTTGGCCCAGCAGCAGACAGGCCTGCTATTAAGCCTGTTAGAGCAGGAGAAAGCGGCTGTATGGATCCGGGCCAGACCTGTCAGCCTTTATACACTGCGACAGTGTTAGGCGTGCTTGCCCCCACTATTTTACTCTGATTGGTGTTTTGCCCATAGTTTGTCAGTGATGTATGAAAAAATCAATTAAATCACGGCTGTGTTGGAGTTGCTGTGGGTTTTTTATGACTTTAAAGTCTCTATACCCGGAAGTGAGCGAAAACCACCAAGGTCACGGTGCTGCCGGAGGAGCTGTCCGGTAGTTACTGGAGATGACACACAGTCCAGAGCAGACCGTTGTTTTTTAGTGTCGCCTTGTGACCCTCTCAGATGACACAACGGCTTCCTGCAGCTTGTTTTTACGTTTGTGGTTTGATTTTGTCTCTTCAGATTGTTTAACTGGAGAATTTTCAGTGTGTGGATATTGTAAAATTATCCAATATTTTAAAGTAATATTAATAATAATAATAATAATAATAGTGCAGTTGGTCTTTGATTGTCTTTGAACTCACCTTTGGAAGCACCTGCCTTAGGAGCTGAGTGAACATTCATGTTTGACCTATTTGTGCTAAATTTACAAAGAAGATTAGATTTTATAAACAGGATTTTTTTCATCATTCATCCAATCAGAAACAGCCTTATTTAATTTTCCTTTAAGTTTGGTAGCTCAGGGAAGATTAGGATCAAGAATGACATGTGTATATGATCAATCCACCGAACGGCACCAGGTCGAGTCACTTCAGTCACACAAAGGGCTTCAGTATTGTAGAGGAAACGTGGGACATTTAGAAACCTGTTAAATTTATATTTCAGTGTAAATCAGCTGCGCAAATACATCAGGAAACTGACTGCTGACGTCTAATTTGGAATGTAGGCCACATGTCAGATCTGGTGATTTATGTGACCACACACACACTTTAATGTGTTTTTGGTTTAAAGAAAATCACAGATTGATCAGGGAAGTTAAATTAAAGTTAACACTGTGGAGCTCAGGTTTCTTTCTGTTTGTTTGCAGCTTTTGCAGAATTATGTTTTTATTTTTAAGCACATGCCTGTAAATAATTATTCATTGCTGACGAGGAAAGCAGCCCTCATCCAGGATCCACCACCTCAGCTCTCCTTAAATCCTGTCCCGGGTCACAGACGTACACCTGATCTCAGGTAACACCTGGACTGACAGTAAACAGATAACAGGAGTCTCTCTGAGATCTTGTTCTTTCACAAGGAGGGACTTGAGAGGATTAAGAGCTGGTGGCTGGTTGGTAGAGCTATATTTAATGCACATATTTTGTATTTTTATTGAGATAAATTTCTCACCTCGGCCCAGAATAATCTGATTGCGCTGCTGTTTTGCTTATGGTGGTTTCATATCCTTCACATCTCCCATTAAGTGGACCTCATGCTACATCTGGCTTCTATAACAAGGACAAACTCAGCGCATTAGTCAGAATAAGGCTGGATCACAGTCATTATGGAATAAACTTCAGTTTGTAATAATCCTATAACTTGTAATTACACATCTATTTATAAGCGCTTTGCCTGTTTCAGTTTGGATCTGGTTAGAGGACAAATCTGTTTTTGCAGTGCCATTTGTCCGTTTGCTGTGTGTTGGGGGGCAGGGAAGGACATGACAATCTGTGGATAGCAGAGAGGAAAAGAAAGAGAGGGGGGCGGATTCTTGAGTAAGCAATCTTTTCACACTATCATAAATCACAGCGTGGCCAACATGCATCTTCTTTCTTTACACCTAGCCATCAGGTCCCCATTCTCTCTCTGTCACGCACACACATGCCACAACACCTCTCTGTCCAAAGCAGCTCTTCACGCTGCAGGTAAACTTCTTTTCAAATGAGGAGACAGAGACAGAGCGCGGGCTGAGACAGAGAGGCACAGAGCGTGGTGTGGCGCCCTTTTCGCCTCCGTGTCTGTTACCTATTCTGAGGCATCTGTCTTCAGCTGCCTTCACGCACACAGAGAGAGAAGAAAAAAAAAGTTTGGGGCTATCAACAGAGCTTGCACGCAGGCACACCCCGTGGATGCCTCTGTGAGTGTGAGAGAGACCACGGTCACACAACAGATAATTAATGACATGTCGAGCGGCGGAGCGCGTGGGATGGGGACGCGTCGGGAACACACACCTGGACACTGAGCGAGAAGCATCCCGACAGACCTTACCTGCTCTCTCTCGGCGTGTCTCTCCTGCTGGATCTCCTCCTGCTGTTCTTTTTTTTTTTTTTTTCGTCCCCTGGATGCAGTCTGTTTTGGACACGGACGGACACACCGGCTGCAGTTAAGATGAATCCCACTGTGGAAAATCTTGGATGTATTTTTCACTGATTGCCGGTGCGTAATTACGCGCGGTCTCTCCGAGAGTTTGGCTTTCTCCTGACGTGTGCTCGCGTCCAAAAGGGGCACTAAATCCCAATTAAACCCGGCGTTTAAACTGCACCGTTGCCTCTTATTACAGCGCCGGGGCAGCCATTAGAACTGCCTCAATAACACAACGTAAAGGAGACGCCAAGTGTTTTCATGCCCGGTTTGGGAGAAGACATAAATCTTGAGCGGCTCCGCTATAAATCTCCAACGATCAAAGCCTACATACGGCGCACGAGCTGACGGGGACTGCTCGGTCTGGGGCTCGCGGTGCTACTTTAGCCTAAAAAACACACCGTGTGCGCGCGCTCACCCCCCCTCCGCCTGTGCTGCAGAATTCCCCGTATAGCGGGCTGGTGCGTGCCTGGCCAGCACCGCGGCCAGGGATCGCGCTTTTTCTCTCCTGCAAAGCCTTATCTCGCTCTGTCCGCCAGCACCGGTGCTAACGGTGGGCCCTGCGCTGACCGAGAGTCCAGAATGAGGCGGCCACAGCTTTCCTGGACTGAGCGTGACGCTGTATTCCCTGGGCTCCCCTCCTCTGCCTCGACCGCTTTCTTTCCTCCTCTCGTCTCACAGTTCACCTAAAGCGAGAAGCTCAGTCCTCCTGTGCCCTTCAGGCTCCTCTTTTTCTCTCGCCTTGCCTCCTTGCTGACTATCTTCTGGCCTAACTCACCAGAACACACACTGTTCTGGTGCTAACTAGGCGTCACCTCGCTGACCTTTTAGGATCAACACATTTTAGGTCTAAAGCTCCAGAAGGCTCCTGAACTCCAGCATATAGTTTATATTCTAGGCTGATCTCTCCTTATGCGCATTTTGACTGCCTCACTGATCGGCCCGGTTCTTCCCTCCTCTGCACCGTTCCTCTTCGGTCTCCTCTCTCCTCCCGGACCTCTGGCTTGTAGGTTCCTTTCGGCTTTTCCTGACGCGTTATAGGCGGATTGACACCGTGAACTGTTCCTGAACCGGGCTGCAGAATGACAGCTCGACAGGCCGAGAGAACCTAGGGAGTCGGGGAGGGGGAAAGGGGGGTTCTGGTTCTTGTTCCTGTCCAATAGGGGAGTGTGGTTGAGGTGCGCCAGGGGGCTAGCGAGGTTCAGCTTGACCTGCCTGTCCGTCCTGCCTGCGCCAAGGCCAGATGTTGGTTATTACATGGCGTCAAACTGAGCGCGATCAGAGGAGAGGAAGAAGGGAGAAGGAGGTTGAGAAGAGGGGAAGAAGAGCAGAAAGTCTGCTGTGATTTGACCTGCGCGCTCACACGGGAACCGTTTCCGCCGCGTTTGGCTTGTTTACGCATTCGGTGGTCGAACGTTGATCCGATTTGGGCGAATTAGAGTCAGAACTGTGGGATGGTCGTTATTCAGAGAGAATGTGGTCTTTTAAAAAATGCACATTAATCTAAACAAAAACAAACTTTGAGCGGATTGTCATATTTTGGCAGCAGCGGATGGAACCGAACTGACCGGTTCTGTAATCAAATCACTGATGCTGGTGCGGAACCTCCCCACATGCTGACCAGGAACGTAACCAGCTGCTGTGTTTTCATGTCACAGTTAGGCCTATGCAAATAATCAGGAAGTATGAGGAGGATATGCTTTAGCTAAACGAGCCAAACGGTCCCGTCAGTGCGGCGCAGAGGTGATGAGCTCTGGGAGGTGTTCTGCTGGATTTTACACTTTATTTGTGATTTTTTTTTCTGTCCTTTTTGCTGCAAACATTTTTTTAGACGAAATTAATCTCACGCGGATGCACTTGGCTTTGATTTCCTCCTATCTCTCCCTCCGCGTGTGCATCTGTGTTATCTGCCCACGCGTATAGACATGCCCTCTACCACGCGCGCGCTCACACAATAAAAACTGAGGGAGATAAAGCGAGGAAGAAAGAGAGAGAGAGAGAGACACGTTCAATTACACGAAAGCAAAGCCGTTATTTTTAGTTTGTTCTCGCTGCGATAAAACAAAAAAAGAAGGAGCGCGGAGAAAGAAGGGAAGCGGGCTCGGCTCCGGTCTCCTCCTTTGTGGAGACGTTTCCTGCTCGGCTCTCTGCTCTTATCGCTGCCCTGCATGCTGCTGCTCCGGCCTGGTTGAATTTGGAGTGAGGAGGAGCAGCGAAGGAGGAAAGAGGGAAAAAAAAAAAAGAAAGACGCAGCTCCGGGGCTCTGGATACGGTTTCAGCCGCTCATTTTTCACGAGCTCTGAATCACTGCCCGCGCGCAGACGATTATAAATTAGCGCGAAGGCTTCTTATTGATTTATTTCCGAACTGGTAATCATCTCCGCGAGAGGAAGAGCCCGGGAAGTACCTGGCGCACGAGACTGGATCTACAGGCTGTGGGAGACACGGCAAGTTAGGCTGAACAACAATAATAATAATAATAATAATAATAACAATAATAATAATGATAATAATAATAATAATAGTAATAATAGTAATAGTGGGGCTGATTTACGCGCCTCCACGTGTTTTGTTAACATCACTTAAATCTTTCTCTCGTTAACGTCCAGCGGCTGCAGATTTATGAGGCCGCGCGCTCCTCTGATTTATGTCTGACTGTTTTCGAAGAATCCAGAGCTCCACGCGCTTCCACGCTGCTCCTAAATGTTCCCCTCTTTTTTTTTTTCATTATTATATTTTTATATATTTTATTTCTTCCCCTTTTCACTTTTCTCCACCGGAAAAAAAAGAAGAAATAAACCGCTTTTGTCTTCAAGCAACTATTAAGCTCTGCGCGTAAAAAGCTTAATGTGGAATCACTCCGCGGCGCTTTATGAGTAGCTGAGGGCGGCTTTCAGCAGTAAGCACCACTCTTATGGATATGGGAGACATTTTCAGAGCCGTTTAACTCCATCCCGAGTGCTGTTTCGTTCCTTGGATTTATTTTCACCGTTTAAAGGGCGCTGGGTTTTTGGGTTGTTTTACTGCGCTGCGTTTTATTTTATTTTGTTGTTTGTTTTATTTTATTTTATTTTTTTTTTGGCAGGGTTGGACCAGATTACATAACGCATTTTAATGAGAAAACATTTCGCTTCTCTAAAATAATAATATTAATTTGTACTTTATATTCTGCTCTCTGTCCATGCTTACATTTGATATCAGCAACACTTTTATTATTTTTACTATTTTCTTTCCTTTAGCGTCTCAGAAAAAGAATCCAGCGTTTTGTGAGGTAGCTGCTCGTTTCCCAGGTCTGTGTTTTGCTAATATAAAAGTATAATATTCATCTAAAATGTTCTGTCTCTGAGTCTGGCTTATATTTAATTAGAGGGCGCCTGTAATGGTAGCATCAGGTTTTTAAAGTGAAATCGAAAACATTTAACCCTCATCTACAGGAACAGTCGCTTTGCGCTTTTCAGCTGTTTTCTGCGTGGGAAAGAAGAGCGGAGCAGACAATATGGCTGCCAGGCTGAGCAGCGAGTGGGAAGATGCGCCTTGTGTCAAGTCTTGTCCGTGTGCCTGCTTGCTTTCACGCGTGTCTCCCAGACGCGTGGGTCTGCACCGACCTTGTCTTTGACCATTTGCTACACACGGATCGCGACAAATTGTCCGTTTCTTATCCTTATTTATTTTATTTTTTACAATGATCTAATCGTCAGCGGGCAGAAACGCGCCACAGGAAGCAAGCAAAGCGGTCACATAGGAAGCAAATAATATATCTGAGATAAAGTCATTCTCTGTTAAACACACATGATATTATTTGTGTATTTTTACATGCGAGAGGCGCCACATTTAATGAGTTCAATGCGTAAAAGTGATGATGAAGAACAACAAGGGGCTTCCTCTGAACTAATCCAGCCGCTGATTCAACAAAAATCCAACCATGTGAACACATATGAGCGCACACACGGACCAAATATCCCTCTGATTACAGGCCAGCACCGTTTCCAGCTGCCTCCCTGACTCTGCTGATGCCTCAGCAAGCTGATAATGCTGCTTTTGTCCTGCAGCAGCTTTCGGGCTAAACATTAATTCCAGCCTCAATTATTTCATGTCGCTGGTGTCACAATAGAAGCCGCAGCTCGAGTAACACATTAATGCTCCGTTTTTTCACATGAGTGGCCAACGTGCCTCCTCACATCTGGACTGTACAATAAAAATAAAAAGCAGAGACGGTGTGTTTAGTGCAGCGGAGTGGAGAGCAGCGAGGCCTCCCAGGAGCTGAGTCCTGCTCCTGCAGCCTGGAGAGCAGCAGCAGCAGCTATAATAGATGTCAGACAGGCACTGATATCATTTCTCAACACCGTTTCAAATATTTGAACTATTTCAGCTGGTTTGATGTGGAATTATCTCTCCAGACAAAACACACTTAGCGGTGGACACATGCCTGGGATAAGATAAGATAAACCTCCTCCTGCTGCTGCTGTCGCGCTGCCTCTCACTCTGGGACTCAGGATTCTTTAATGCTGCACTTTTTTGGGGGTTAAATTAGACTAATTTTCCTCCTGCGCTGCGCCGACCTGCCTCCTCCTCTCATGTCTGGAAACGCATCCCCAACGCGTCCATGTCACCCAAATCAGATATGAAGTGAAGCTACCCGGTGAAATATATAAATATATCTGGAGAGAAATCATGTCACCCCCCCACCACCACCACCACCACACTCAGCCCACCTCCCCTCCTCTTCTCCATCTCTCTTTCTCCGTCCACAGAAATGAGGCGGGATATTGTTTCTGACACGGCGGCGGACAGCAGGAACACACATTTTGAGAAGCGCTGCTGCTGCTGCTGCTGCTGCTGCTGCCATTATTATGTGATGGGAAGCCGCGGAGCCGCTCTAATTTGGTTACACTAAGGTTTACACTGGGAGTGATGGCCGAACGGGGGGAGAGAGAAGAGGGGAGAGTCCAGCCTCAGAAATGTAATTGTGAATTGTAATGGAGCACTTTGATCCATCCATCTATCCATCAGTCTGCAGGAGAAGCGGCCCTGCTTTAGGTCATAACTCTGCACTAATAATAATAATAATAATAATAATAATAATAATAATAATAATGATGCTAGCTGTGGATGTGTCTGGCCTCTCTGTGCTGTTTGTCTCTAATAAACGCCTTCAATGCTGCGTTCACTGTCCTGTCTGTAATTCTGGTCTTTGCATGTGCTACCAGCTGCTTCACACCAAAACAAGAGC